AAGAGTGTTTTTTACTAAAAATGAGGTGTTTAATACACTTTTTTAAAATAATATGGTTCCAATCCAAAGCAGTTCGGTCCCATGTGTTGTTGACTACAAATGAGGTAATTGTTTTACTGAATTTGAATAAATGAATTTTATCAAACAATGTCTTCTTGTGTTAATATACCGTTTATTTTAAAATAAAATTACATGACAACAGTGCAAATGATTAGCCATATTAAAGATAACAAAGGTGAATGGACATGCAAAGTTAGAGTTGTTGAGAAGCGGAACATTAGAGACTCGAGGTCCAGTCCAAAAAAGTATAGACCTTATGTATTGCACGATCATGAAGTAAGTGTTTTTATATCATAAATGAACTAAACATAGAATATTACAAAACCAGGCTTTTGATTATGTTAATTTGAAGTATTTATTTTAAAATAATAGGGCACGAAGGTTCACACTATGGTGAATAGTGGAGACATTGATCAAGTTAATCGAGTATTGGATATCCATAAAATATATAAAATAACAAATGCTGCTATGATGCCGACTAAATACAATGTCCCATCACCATCTCCCCACTATAAATACATCTGGATGATTAGTAGACAGACATATATTGACCCAGTTCCAGATTTTGAACAGATTAAAATACCAGATGAGGTAAAAGAGATGCTGACACCATTTAATGAGTTTTACGGCATTAGTGCAAGTAAAACCCCCATAAGTGAGTCATTTAATTTCTCTTTTCTTATATAGATATACAGCTGTTTACTACCACTTTGCATCAGATCTCTACTTTTGTATACAAATTTCATGGCCGTTGTTATAGAAAAATACCGAGAGAGTACATCTCAGTTGGATTCACAGGAAAAAATAGCACATGATTTCACCATTTTTAATGAGGAGTAAGTAATCCGCATGAAAAAATATTTAAAGATACACAGAAATAACATTTTGAATGATTGCTTGAATAGAATGAAGCTTATGCTGCTTACACTGTGGGAAGAGTTTGCAACAAACCAAGGGAAGGAAATCACGTCCCTCTTAGAAACTAGGCATTTCCAAATAATTATTGTAAAAAGGGTTAATTTTACTGCCTTTAATGGTAATATATTATTTAGCAAAGTTTATATACATAGAAAAAGAATTATTGAATTAACCGACAATAAGTTGATGTGGATTTCTAACAGGTGTTTCTCCGTTTTTTCGATTTGATGCAATGTTTGAAGTGGACCCTGCTCATACAACATTTGAATCCCTTAAGAAATGGTATGAACATACTCTTATGTTAAGAATAAACAGTAGAAATCACATTCATTTGAATGTAATACTTATAATAACACTTTAATAGGCGAGATGACAGCATAGACCTTTTCAAGAGGTTCATTGGCCTGAAGGCATATAAAGATGCTCTAAATGCACTGCCCAAAGTTAAAACTTTCTGAGGTTTGCAAAGTGAATACCCAGGTATGCACCATGGTTGAGCATCATCGAATGACTGAAATTAGATATGTATTACTATTTTCTCGTGTGGATTAAGTTTTAAATTTCACACTCCAAATTTAGGGCAAAGAAGTTTGGATTACAGTAGATATGAGAATTCTCGATAATGAACCAAATTCCTACATTGGCTATGACTATTGTAATAAAAAAGTTTGTGGACCACGTGGTGAGAAGAAGTGAGAATTCTCGATGATGAAAAGTTTTATGCTTAAAGAGAAAGGAGTATGATCACATGAGGCATTAAATGGTTATGGACACCATGGTCGGTCTAAACATAATATGTGCTAGAAGAAAGCTAAGATGTAAATAATATTTGATAATAAATAATAATAATAATAACAACAACAAAAACAACAACCTCTTTAAGAATATCAACAGTTATTTTAGAGTTAAGTGTTAGCATTGTTTTGATTTAATTTGTCCAAACATTATTGCGGCCATAGTTCGAGTGATGAACTAGGTTTTGCTTTACTTATGTATATACTCTGCGCGCACGTACCTGACGTACGAGGTATATATTACAGAGCGAGAGGGATCCAAAT